GCGAAGTGAAGCTCTTGAATGATTTGTATTGTATTGTGTAAGCTAACTTTATATTAAATATTCTTGTTTATACTCTCGTTTTAGTACAAAATCGCATATACAGTGTGGAACGTGCCAATTGAGCAACGCTGTTAAGAGTCTCGCCGAACAAAAATTGAAGAAACCGTGGAATTAAAATCTTTCGATTAACGAAGAACGAACTGTGTGCTGGGTAACTGTTTTTAGTCATTTGTCTTTGTCCAACTCGCATTTGAGCTTCTAGTCATAGTCCAGTTCGAACATATAAAGATTCTGTCGATAAATGTCAATATTTTTTTTGTTAAGGAACTGTCAGTTCAGACGAAGCCGCGCTGTGATTTTAGACAGCGCCATCTGTTGGTTCAATTTGCAAACTCGAAACTGGCTTAACTTTGTAAAATAATAATATCAAGTTTGTTGAAATTAAAATAATAATAGGAATGTACTTTCGTGTGTAGTATAGAAAAAATAATTTGGGAGTTGGCGTTTGTTGTTGTCGAAACAATAGTTTCGACTTGTTTGTAAAATCGAATGACTAAAATATTATTATTGTTAAATTTCAGAATTTGAAAAGAAGGAAGCCTCAAAAGTACCTAATGTCGTCAAGTAAGTTTATGTAAGTAATTCGTCATAGTCGGTTACTCTTGGCAAAGCAGTCGTGGTCATGTGGAACTCTTGTTTATTAAAGTAAGTACCTTTGTATTATATTTTATTGCCCTTGTAGACAGACGAGCATAAGGCCCACCTGATGGTGAGTGGTTACTGTCGCCCGTGGACTACAGCAATGCCAGGGGCAGAGCCAAGCCGTTACCTACCGCAAGCTATTATAACATATTTTATGCAGTTTTCTTAACATTATTAATATTAACTTGAAATACCTATTTATTATTATCATTTAAACTCGAAATACTCTGAAAATAAATGTGTTCATGAAACTTACATGTTGTGTGATGAAGAAAGTGACGCGTAGTGCCATCTATGCAATTTAATGCGTAGCTCTAATTTGAGATCGAGTTTTATTGTTTTGTATTATATTTAACTAGATGGCGCTGTTGCGAAATTTAAACAGTGTTTTGGATTGTAGTTCGATTAAATTCCTAGTTTTACCGCTAGAGGACGCTGTTCCAAACCTATACAAATTTGATTTATTTTTTACGCTATCGAGTAGTTAAAAAGCTCGCATTAAGCACAACGATTGCGATATATTAAAAATGCCGGTCAAGAGACTGGACGACAGATTATGACTAATGATGTGGTCACTTAAAAATGGCAATTAATCAGATTAATCAAATTATTGATTTGTTGTTTTCAGCTTGGCAATCAAGAAGGAAGATGCTCACGCTGCAATACTGCTTGTACGCTGCAATTATGCAATACTGGACTTTAAAGTAATGGTAAAAAAATATTATACCTTTGAAGACAGACTTGCATACGGCCTACCCAATGATAAGTGGTAACCGTCACTCTTGGGATCGTCCCGTTTGAAGAAGGACATGTCACAGCTTTCAAAACTTTGAAAGAGAATAAAGTTATTATTTGATTCATATAACCGCGGTACTCATACGTTGAATCGTAATAAATTTATCTTCAAATTTCCTCGAAAATAAACTCCGACCAGTGAACAGACGTGTTAAGCACAGCTCATTATTGCATTAAAAGAAGCGCCTTACATTTTTATAATAGCAATGCGTATAACCAAATCAAACTAGAATATCATTCCATCAGGCGCTTTTACAATTCGTATACAATTAATTCGGAACAAGATATATTTATATCAGGATAATCCGATATTAATGTAATCATAAACTGGACGGGTAGGTACCACACACCACCAGCCTGCCTATTTCTGCCGTGAAGCAGTAATGCGTTTCGGTTTGAGGGCTCGAGCAGCGGTTGTAGATTTAGAACTCGTGTTTCGAGATGGGCAGCGGCATTAACTTGGCTGATGTCTATGGGCTCCTCTGGCCGTTACCTACTATCTGTTTAATTAAATACAATTGGGTTGTATGTTTATCATCAAGCAATATTTCCTTCTGGTTCAGCCGTCTTGTCTATGATTTCAGATTCGTGCCATACACACGCCGCAATGTACGTCGCGTCTGCACGGAGCCGGCAACGAATCTCCACAAACGAAATTACGTGATGTTAACAGAAACATGTTAGATATTCTGTTTATACATATATATGAGCGAGCTGTTACCCGCGGCTTCGCCAGCCTGAATCAAGGTAATGTGTGTTTTGGTGCTGGCTGTATGGGCCGGTTGCCTGTGATAAAGAAAACCTGTGATAAAGAAAACCTGTGCTTTGTACTGCAGTACGGTTTATTTGTATGTTTATACGCTTGATATTTTAATAATATGATAAACTCGTCCGCTTGCGGTGAAGAGTAAAAAAGGAGCAGAGTGACATCAACAATGTTGCCAGTCGTATAATTTTATTTTCCTTACTAAGATGTTGGAGTTGCCAACAATGTGTCAATTGGTTTTAATATTAACTATAGCGTTAGCCTATTTCATTCATTAGACTTTTTAAGATAGAAAATGAGCGGCTAGCCTTTAATTGTCGTTCTGTGATTTTGTGGTTTGCTTTTCTTTCTAAAATAAAAGTCGAACTTTTTAGAGACACGCGTTACACACTTTTAATCCGTCTTCTGTAGCTACAACAATAGAGCGTACACGTTACCAATCTCGTGCTCATAAAAAAAAAAAGCTTTTCTATTAGTAGTGTTGCCAACATTAAACCGAACAAACAAGACCAATAAACGCGGTGTCATGTTGCGAACTCAACTAACGTTCATTCGTTCTCAATTTCAGAATCACCTCGCTCAGCTCTAGCGCCGCGTCTCTAGCGATTGCAGATCCGGCAGCGGAGTCTACGGAGGCCGAGGGGAATCTAAAATAAACGGTAAAGTAATTAATAAATAACTATTATACCTTGTGGAGAGTATTAAGCGGTAGACAGAAGTCAGTCTATGGGCGACGGTAACCACTCACCATCAGGTGGGGGCCGTATGCTCGTCTGCCTACAAAGGCACAAAGATTCTCATCATTAACGCCCTCGCAACTGGTGCACCCCATATAAATATTAGCTTATCCATTAAGTACATGTAATTTCTACACGGATACCAAGTTTCAAGTCAATCGGATGCATGGTTCAGTAGTTATAACGGAACATCCATAAAAACCACTAGATTTATATATTAGTATAGATTTACAAGTGTTAAGGGATGCGTTCGTCGAATTGAATATTCAAGTGCAAAAACTGCATCCGACGCGCGTATCTGTGATTGGTGGTTACGGCGTTTGACTAGTGTTGAGACATCTGAGTGGTGGTAGGACATCTGAGTGGTGGTAGGCTATCTGAATGGTGGTAGGCTATCTGAATGGTGGTAGGACATCTGAGTGGTGGTAGGCTATCTGAATGGTGGTAGGACATCTGAGTGGTGGTAGGACATCTGAGTGGTGGTAGGACATCTGAGTGGCGGTAGGACATCTGAGTGGCGGTAGGACATCTGAGTGGCGGTAGGACATCTGAGTGGCGGTAGGGTTTTCGAAAGGTGGCCAAGCCTGTGTACTATAGAACCGAGACTAAGAATTCGCATCCCTCAAGGTGGGGGCTGGCTTTAACATTGTCGATGGCTGCGGTATTTGACAACATAATCTTATAAACAAGTCGATTTACTATAATCTTCCACGTTCATCCCACGGAGCGAGTTTAGTCTTTTTTTTAATACTTAAAGTCCAGGGGCTCTCCTTTTTTTATGATATTTTCTTCGCATTTAATAAATTTTGGTCATTAATAAATTTTTATACGCAAGACTGCTTCAGCGGCAGGGCGGCTTGCCTGATGTTCTACTAATCCTTAAACCAATCACGTCCGATATTAACAGCGTACTATATAGAGTATAATAATAATAATAATCTCAACCAATCACAGGCCGCGTCGTTACTCCGACGATAATTTTGGCGCGTTTTTTTTTTCTTTTGATGATTTCCTGTTAATAAATGCTTCTAATCGAATTATATAAATATATATTTACGTAATTAACGCAACTCACGTATTATTCTCGTTAATTTAGCATTAGCATTTAAAACAATGTTATACAACAAAAAAAAATATTTAAGACGGATCGGATACACGGGATTATTTTCGATTAACCGAGACTTATTAATTTAATGAAATTACGGCATTATAAAGGAAAAAAACGACAATACTATGCACTAAATGACTATTGTTTATTGTTAAAACACTATACCGAGAAACTGTACTCATAATGCGGACCAATCGAATCGGAGCATTATCACGCGATAAGCGCTGCACGTTGATTGGTCAGAATGACGGATCCTATCAAGGCTATAAAAGTAAGCCTCCCGTAAATACCTTTAATTATCTAAACGTCGGAGTCGGAGTCGGGAGTCGGGCAGTCGGGCGGGGTCCGGCGGCCGGTAATCGGTGTAATAGCAAACAAATAAGAAAGAAACAAGAAGACAAGCATAATATTAATAATAATAATCATCATAGTAGCAGTATGAAACGAAACGAAACGAAACGAATAGAAAATAGAATAGTATGAAGTATGAAGAAGAACGAATAATTTGTATGAATAGAAAGCACGTGTGAAATTGTGTGTGTGTGTTAAAGCAATACTAAAAATAATGAATAATGAAACAAATTAAGAAAAAATAATATAATATATAGGTACTATTATGTATAATCGAATAGAACTTACCCTTTAGTAGTATTTATTTATTTATTTATTTATTTATTTATTTATTTATTTATTTATTTATTAGGTGTAATATATAGTAATTGATTGATTGAATTGTTAGCCCTGAAAAGGGCTGTTGTATATCGATGCGTGCCGTGTGTAATCTTCGCGTCTTCATCGTCGTCGTCGAACGTCGATCGAGTTAGACACAAACATACATTATTTATTATAAGATGATGATGATTAGGTGACTGGCACACACACACATGGTTGGTTCGTTTTAATATATTTGTATGTATTTTTAAATCATTGTGTGCTGCTGCTGTTGTACCCAATGAATCACTTCTTCGAAGCGGCGGACGCTTTTTTGGCCGAAGGTTTCGTTTTAGGCGTCGAGGCGGTGGCCTTTTTCGGTTTAGGCGCTTTCGGTTTCTTTGTTGGTGGTTTAGCTGTTTTCTTAGCTTTCGGCGCGCTCTTGGCGGCCGCAGCTTTAGCGCTCGCTCCAGACTTCCTAGCAGCGGCGGCGGGCTTCTTTTTCGCGGCGGCGGCGGCTCTTTTCTCCTTTACCGAAACTGCGGCGGTTGCGGCAATCGAAGATTTACCTTTCGACGGCGATGAAGCTGACGCTGCAGCCGCTTTCTTTCCGGCCCTGCCGGCAGCCGCCCCCGAAGAAGTCGAAGCGGCACCACCGGCGCCGGCCCCTCCCTTTTTGTTGCTGCTGCCGCCTTTAGACGCTGCCGAAGCGGAAGCGGACGAAGCGTTGCCCTTTGCTGCCCTTACGGAACTGCCACCGGACGCACCACCAGATCCGGAACCGGGTTTCTTCGAAGCGGAGGTCTTCGATTCCAGTTTAAAAGATCCGGAAGCTCCCTTGCCTTTAGTCTGTATTAGAGTACCGGATTCGACGGCGTTCTTCAGATACTTTCTTATGAACGGTGCTAATTTTTCAGCATCCACCTTGTACTGGGCCGCTATGTATTTCTTGATTGCTTGTAAAGTCGAGCCGCTGCGCTCCTTGAGTTCGGCAATAGCGCTGTTCACCATTTCCGACGTCTTCGGATGGCTCGGTTTAGCTTTAGGTTTCTTAGCGCCCGCGGAAGCACCACCACTCGCGGATGTTTTTGGTTTTTTGACGGGTGTAGCCGGAGCTGGAGTTTCAGTCCCAACAGCGGTATCTGCCATCGTTGATGATTATATTATTATTGTTGTTGTACACGCACACACAAAACACAAGAGATTCCAATATTATTATTAAGCACAGGCAGAATAATGAATCGGAAAAATGAAAATGTTTACACCTTACAGATGTCGCCACGATCGGTTAGTTTTGAACCCGCGCCGATCTGTTACCGTAACGAGAACGCTAAAAACGCGATACGTTTTCGTGTACCAATTCTTGAAACTTTTCACTAACACATCTCACGTCTTTTGTATTTTTTTCGATATTATTAAAGACACGTAATTATTCTATCGAATTTAGATTAAACTCCACGAATCCTTGAATCTACTGATGTACGATTCTTTATGATCCGATCGTATTATAAAATAATATTAAACTTTTAACAACGCTATCTCGTCGATTGCACAGGTAGTGTTAACTTTATTATGATGTTTTACATATAAAACGAATAATAATTATATATTTAATGAATAATATATAACCCTCTTCGTATACTTTTAAGGTTGAACTTATTTTTTTATGAAATATAAAAGTTTTCATAGGTTAAAATGATGATCAATCGAGAGGTACGTAAAACAGATTCAAACTTTCAAGTTTCGGAACGCGCGAGCGGAATGTTCTATTCTGGTTGCTTGTAAAGTTTTTTTTTTTTTTTTCTTTTTCTTTTAACATTATTTTTTTTTTAAATATATATATTAAGTACCTATGTACAATGAGATTTCACGCTATCAATATAAATCAACAATTATAATGATAATAATAAAAATGTTGTACATACCTATACTGTCTTAAATACGCTTTTACGTGGTGCTAAAAGGACTAGAAATAAACGAAAATTTTTGCACGCGACGACTGCACTATACTAAAGTTTTAATAAAACTAGTTATATATCTTACTAATAATATAAAATAATAAATAATGATATTCCGGACGGCCACCGCTCAGGTTTCGGCCACCACGTGTGATTTTTAGACTTCTTACTCTCGTTGAAACGTGGTGGCTCGAGTATTGCCGCAGTGGCTGTCGCGGAACGGGTGCTGGGATTGGTTCGAGGAAAATAACGAAGGCTTCAAGTATGGCGTTCACACGGTCCTCGTGGCTTGACCGGCGCAGGGCGTAGGAGCGAGTCTTTTCTTCTTCGGTTGGCGCTCTCCTCTTCTTTGGAGAGGTCTTGACTCGTCGGCTCGCTGTCTCGAACTGAATTTGCAGCGAGGTAGGCCCCTTATTTATGGTCGCCCACGCGCACTCGGCCAGCGCTATTATGAGTCCGAGCACGGTGGGCGTCTATTGTTCTCTCGGCCGCCTCGCTCGCCTATTGTTTGCCTAGTCGCTCTATTAGTCGCCCGTATTGTGACTCGCTCCTGCGTTCCCACGCCAAATTAAAGACCACGAGGACCAATATTTATTTACAAATAAATATTTACAAATTTACTTATATCTATTTGTATTGCTAAACTATTTTTTAAATACTGTCTATTGGCTATTTTTTTATTTCTATTTATTCTCTATTTTATGTTAACTTATTTTAACATAACTATTTATAGGGACCATTTCATATTATATATTTACTATGTTTTCTATCTATTTAAAAACTATATGTCCTCGCGGGAATATCTTATTCTAACTATGTTTCTTTATGTCCGTCGCGAACATCCTCCCGCCGTGCAGCGTCGTTCACGTCGCTGCATCCTCCTGGTGAGCGGCGGACATCGTGGGCAGCACGATGATCTTCTTTGCCGGGCGTCGCAATATACCGCCGGCGGTGCGTACGTCGACCACTCGAGTGATGCCGTCGGCCCCCGGGTAAACCTCCTGGATGATCCCACGTGGCCAGGTGTTCCGTGGGAGCGTTCCGTCTGCTATTATCACGACGTCGCCTATCTTCAGGGCGGGCCCGCGGCTGTGGGGCTCCCGCCGGTTCTGCAGGTCGGGCAGGTACTCCCGGAGCCAGCGACTCCAGAACACATCTGCCAGACGTTGTGCTGCGCGCCAGTGTGCGCGCCCTATGAGGTAGGCGTCGTCAAATTTGCCCGGCACGGGGACTCGCGCCGGGCCTCCCAGCAGGAAGTGGTTCGGTGTCAGAGGGTCGGGATCGTCGGCGCTCACCGATACATGGGTGAGAGGTCGGCTGTTCACTGTGAACTCTGCCTCCGCTAGCAGAGCGTGAAATATTTCGGGCGTCGGGTGCCTCGGCTTTCCGTGTCCGAGGCGCGGCTTACCGCCCGGACCATTTTCCCAGGGCGCCGCCCATAAAGGCGCGGGCCCGGTGGGATGAAGCGCCATTGGATAAGTTTTAAGCTCGCTTCATGCTCAGTCGCCTTGTCCATAGCTTGGCGCAGCTCCTTGTCGGCACCCCGTAAATTGGTGCCGTTGTCGCTCCATCTTTCCGTCGGAGCTCCCCGGCGCGCGATCATGCGCCGGAGTGCCATCACTGCTGAGTCCGTGCTGAGGCTCGCTGCCGGTTCTAAATGTACCGCACGCGTAGTGAGACATGTGAAGATGGCCACGTAGTGCTTCTGGGTGCTTCTGCCGGTGGTAACTTGATAGGGCCCGAAGTAATCGAGGCCCACGTATGTAAATGGTCGCCGATGGTGTGCCAGTCTGCTCGGTGGG